AACAAGGCAAATGAAATAGCAAAACAACCAAGGCAACCAAACAAACAAACAAACAAACAATCAATCAAACATTCAAACAAGCAAACAAAGCAAACAAAACAAACAAAACAAACACAGCAAAACAAACACAGCAAAACAGAGCAACACAAAGCAACGCAAATCAAAACAAAGCAAAGCAAAGCAAACGCGACACAAAACCATCAAAACAGACAAACAAACAACAGAAAAGCAACAACCAAAACAACCAAAACAGCCAACACAATAATAATCAACACAAACAACAAAGAAACAAGCAAAACACGCAGTCCGAATCTCCAAACGCACCAATCAAAACAAACAAACCAACCAAGACAAACACAAGAACCAAACCAAACAAAACAATCAAGACAAACAAAGCAAGCAATCAAACAAAACAATCAACACAAACAACACAAACAATTGAAGCAAACAAGTCAAAACAATCAATATAGACACGACAGTCAAAAGAAACAAAACAAACAACACACAGACACAAACAAGGCAAACAAAACAAACCAAGTAAGCAAAAACAAACAACCAAACAACAAACAAGCAACCAAACACCCAAACAACCATATAACCAAACAACCGCAACTCAAGAACTAAACGTAGTTAAACAATCAAACAACCACACGCCGCAAAAACAAACAAGAAGAAGCAAGAAAACAAACAAACAAAAGGAACCAACCAACCAGACAAACTAGCACGCACGCACGCAAGCGCGCACGCTCGCAAGCACGCAAGCAAGCAAGCAAGCCAGCCAGCCAGCCAGCCAGCCAGCAGCCAGCCAGCCAGCCAGCCAGCCAGCCAGCCAGCCAGCCAGCCAGCCAGCAAGCAAGCAAGCAAGCAAGCAAGCAAGCAAGCAAGCAAGCAAAGCAAGCAAGCAAAGCAAGCAAGCGCGCAAGCAAGCAAGCAAGCAAGCAAGCAAGCAAGCAAGCAAGCAAGCAAGCAAGCAAGCAAGCAAGCGAGCAAGCAAGCAAGCAAGCAAGCAAGCGAGCGAGCAACAAAACAAACAAACAAGCAAACAAACAGTCAGACAACCAAAGCAAACAACAAACAAAGAGAAACAAACAAACAAAACCAATCGCAACCAAACAAAACCAAACAGAACCAAGCAAACATGATCGCAACTGGCCAAAAACAAGCGAAGGCAAACAACAAAACAATCACAGAGAAAGACAACAAACACAAACAACAGTAAGCAAACGCACGCAACCGCAAACCACAAACAGAAACACAAACATTCGAACAAACAAACACACAGCACGACACAGACACACTGACAAACAATTACGCAGGAAAACAAACCAACAGATGCACAGGATCACAGGCACACAACAGACACAGAAAGACGCAGGCAGACACACACGCAGACAGACACATAGACACGCAGGCGCACACAGACACACAGACACAGACGCGCCGGCGCACAGACGTGCAAACACACAGACGCATGCGCCGCGCGCTGCAAAACACACATCTGCAGAGAGCAGAATGGGGCGCGGGCGCACACACACACACACACGTCGCGCTGTGCGATTTAACGCTGTCAGCGCATTGTTTAGAGCATCCTGATGTCGCGAAACAGAAGAGGTGTTGGCGGCTGTAAAGAAACTGTTTGAGCCCTCCAAACCATAGTTGCTTTTGATGCGCTATGGCTAGAGCGCAAAGCGCAGGAGACACTTAGTTGCCGATCGTCGCGTTTCTGGTCTGCCTGAAATGGTGCTCCTTGTATGACTTTATCTTCAATATTTAAAACGCTTGACTTACATTATAATTATAACATATAAGGGTATAAATGTTATAATCATAGTATGGTTTTAATCATTATGGGTAGCTACTATTACGTTTAAATCTATTGAAGGTGATTTAATTAAGTTGTTGTGTGCCGACGTGGCTTTATAACATCATTCAAATATTCCATAAACTCATCCATATCAATATATTTATCCTGTCTTCAAATAAAAGTATACAATATTCAGATAAAAACTGTTTGGATATTCATTATTTCTATATATCCAGTTTCTATCAAACACATCACGGCCAAAATGAGTTAGACATGGTGGTAAACAGTTAGAATTCACAAATATAGCAGATATAAAACAATTGATTAAACAAATATTTTTTCGCATATGATTTTACTACTCATCTACTTATACTATAACTTTAGAGCCTCCGGCTCAGTCCGCCGACATTGTCCTCTCCCTTTTCTCCTTCTTCCTCTCCCTTGTCTTTCTCGTGTGTTCTGTCATCCTCTCTCCCTCCCTCTGCTCCCCATCCTCCCCATCCCCCCAAGCCTCTCTCGCCTCAATCTCTCTCTCTCTCTCTCTCTCTGTCTCTCTCTCTCTCTCTCTCTCTCTCTCTCTCTCTCTCTCTCTCTCTCTCTCTCTCTCTCTCTCTTTCTCTCTGTTTCTCTGTCTCTTTCTGTCTCCCTGTCTCCTTCCTGTCCACGCCCCTCTACAGAAAACGGGTACCATAATTCGAGCCTCCCTACTCTCTCTCTCTCTCTCTACGTGGGCACGGCGACCTGCAGAGTCGCGCGTGCACCCCAGACGCACAGACACACCGACACACACACAGACACACAGACATACACAGGGAGACGTGCAGAGAGGGAATCATGCACTTAGAGGCACGCGCGCATACAGACGCACGACCGCACAAACGCACGAACCCAGGCGCACAGACACACAGAAACAGAGACGACGCACCGAGCACAGACACGCAATTACAAGCACGCTCGCGCACCTCCGTGCCTGTTGTTTTTCACTTGATGCGCTTGGCTGAGGCTTTGCAAGCGCACTACGGAGGCTTCCGGCAGATCAAAGAAATGCTAGAAGCCTGGAAGCAAAATGGGCTGCGGTTAGGCAGCGCAAACTTGCCATCGATGACTGTTTCGCTCAAAATTAGGACGAGCTTTGCTTGAGGCTCGAGATGTCAATGCGTCCCAGTCAGCCTGAGGCTAGTTGTGCGTTTTGGCAAAAACCGCCAAAGCTGCAGCTCAGGAAAGTCGTGATGCTGCACCCACAAAACGCGAGCACGACAGAGCTGCGCGTGATGCCGAAGCCCGGCGGGAGGCCAACTTGGCGGCTGTGGCAGCCTCGTTGAAGGAAGAGGCGGAACGAAAGGAGGCTGGCCATAGTCAGTTGCTTTTGGCGCTGTCACGGGTGGAACATCGAACGGCTGGCACACATGCGGCAGCTGCTTGACGCCTTGCATGTGTTTTGCACTCAGCAGGAGGAAGCCTTTTGGGCGCAAGTACGTGCTCGGCGAGACCTACCATTTGATGGGGACAGTGACATGTTCAGGAAGTTTGCTGTGCCTTGGCGCTGTTTGTCGAACCCAAAGCGCTCAAAGCGCCTGGCAGGCGATTCAAGGGTTGCTGTGCTGGATGCTAAAGATGTCCGTGATTGGTACAGGACACCCTCACAAACTTGGGAAAGCTGACTGGGGAACCACATGAACAACGTATTGAAGGTTAGGCTAGTTTCTCGAAGTTGCTGCAGTGTTTGCTTAGGACTGGTTCAGCATTTGTGAGATATTGGTGTAGCTGAAGCTTTTGAATGTTGTTTTGATATTGGTGTAGCTGACACTGTTGAATATTGCTTCGGTACCGGTCCCCACGTTTAGTTAGAATTGGTTCAATACCGAAATACCGATTGTCTTCGTGGAGGCCGGGGGGGCACCCGCTGCCTTATTGGAAATCGTTGGCGGCTTTGCACAAGGTTGCGTGATTTTGTCATTGGGGACCTCAATTTTTGTGGCCGGCAGCAGTCAAGCTGGCGGTGTGGTGGCGGTGGATTCAGGGCTATCCGCTATCCAGCATAAAGGGCTGCCTGGTGCGGCCGCCCCAGCCATTTTCAGGATGGTGAATCCGTCAAAGATTGTCATGCAGGGCCTGCTTTAATTATTCTCTACTTTGAGAGTTTCCCTCTCCAAATAGAACGAAGCCCCCAAAATCGTGGTATGTTCCATTTGGGGGCTGGTGATGCTGCCCCAGCATCACCACAGGTGCCTAACAGAGCACTTGAATTTCGTAGTAAGAAAATGCTGACGAAGATGATGACGACGACAATGATGATGACGATGCCTAGAAAATGAGCACTTCCCTGTATGATGGTGGTGATGAGGGCGGTCGAGCAGGCTGCATAGGAAAATACGGACGACGATGATTATGAGGACGATGATGGTATGAGATCCGGCCTCCCGTCCCTCCCCTTTTGGAGCAGTCGGCGGATTAGATGCACGCTGCGTCAGCCCATGGCATGATTTCCTGCCTAAGGCAGCCAGTGCACGACGATCTGCACAGGATTGGATTGTGAGGGTCGAAGGGAGGTGCGCAAGCAAGTTGAAGCCACCACCTAGACATCAAGGCGCAGCAATGAAAGCTCTATGGTGATGACGTGACAAACATTCAAACGGCTTGATCGCTGATTCATTCTTGCTGCCTACACACAGGAGGCTGCTGGAACACGGCCATCACTGCCACCTCAGATTCGTCACGCTCTCAGAGAACTGGCCGCTGCCTGCAGAAAGTATGCCTGCTGCTCACAGGACAGCATTACCGTCTTCTGGAAATAGAAGTTGAATCTTGGCAGATCCTTCCAGTCTGCATTGCTATGCATGCTTTATGCATGCTGTGCTATGCATGCTTTGCCATGCATGCTTTGCTATGCATGGATGGCTTCCTTTGCTATGCATGCCAGCAAGCTGAGGATGCGACAGAGATTGACGTTCGCAGGGCATACCGGAAGCTGGCGGGGCCGCATGTTGCTGATTTTTGAGGGTTGGACGGTTCATTGCAGATGCTTCAGGCATTGAAGCATCATCCCGACAAGCTGCATGGCTGAATATAGTTTAGACTTTGAACTCTGCCTCTGTGAGGCACTCCCATCATACACTTGCTAAAAGCATTGGCTGTCACCAGGAACCCGGAGCACCAAGTCAGTGCCAAGCAACGCTTCGCAGAGGCGATCAAGCTTTGGCCTGCAACTGGAGAGAGAACAACATTTAGTTGGTCAGCGGATGGACTGACGAAGCCCTGGCTGTGCCATGCAGGTGGCAAAGGCCTATGAGGCAGTCTGCGGATACCTGGAGGCTGCTGTTGCTTCTTTATGCTTTGTTTGGGGTTATACCCGCCGGGAGTGTTGGGTGACTCCCTATCAAAGCATTCCTTGCTTTGCTAGGCAAGGCTGAGCCCTGCTGCGTGAAAAAGTGCTAAAAGGCATTGGAGTGATCATACCCGAAGAGTGGTGAGAGTAAAAGTCTATGTGCTCATGTCACAAAATGCTGCTTGCAAACCTGCGGGATACTGGACTTACATTGCCGGTGAAAGCTCTTGAGCAAGTATTTTTTACGACCTTTCAGAATTGACAACTTGAGCTATTTGATCAGGTCACAGACATGTACGGCAATCACGCACCCTGCCCAGAGAAAAGCTACTTGTGGTTGATTACTTGGGCTTGCAGGTGTCAGGTGTGTGACTTGGCCACTTTCAGGCCTTCGTTTTTGGCAGCGCGCGGCCTGGTGCCCAGGTCACACTTCGGTCGCATGGCATGGGTTGGTTTCAGTGGAATGACCAAGGCCAGCGAGCAGCGCAGGCCACAAAGACCTTGGGGAGTGTCCTAGTTTGCCTTTCCTGCCCAGGCACAGTGCAATTCGGAGACCACAACCAGCCGGGGAACCTCAGACGGCTTGAGAAGAGCCATGTGATTTCAATGTGTCCAAGGCCCATGCAGGTTGTGGCAGCCAGTCGCCAGGAAGGCAGTGGCCTTGCGGGCTGCAATATTGGGCATGCTCGGCTTTGTTTGGTTTTGTCGCTTTTGCCTTTCAATGATGCCTGTTGGCGCCCGAATGGGTGGATTCAGGTGGCCTGCCGCAGGAATACTGGGGCTCCAACAGTGGATTGGCCTGGACAGACACGCGCGGCGAACGCTTGCGGAAGCAGGCACGGGTTGCCAAACCCATTCGGGCGCATCTCGGCGTATGCCATTTATGGCAATTTGGCATTAGGAGTCAAAGGATGCCAGCGCCAAGTTGGACGTGATGGCCTCACTGCCGAGTTCATGTTTTCCAGCAACGTTTTGGTCTCACGCCAGCTTGTAAGGCCAGTGAGCGGAAGATGAACGACCTCTCCTCCGAGGTGTGGGGAAGTGCTTTCGTAGCAGCATAGAGGAGCCAGGTTTTGAGACAGCGAGAAGCTACCTGCAATTCAGAAGCATTCTTGCGCGATTCAGAAGCTATTCGTGCGATTCAGAAGCTATGTTGCGATTCAGAAGCTATGCGTGCGATTCGGAAGCTATGTTGCGATTCAGCAGCTACTTGAAGCCATTCAGAAGCTATTTTGTCCGATTGCGAAGCTATTTGCGCGATTCAGAAGCTATTTTGCGCGAATCAGAAGCTATTTGTGCGATTCAGGAAGCTATTTTGTCCGACTCAGAAGATATTTTGTGCGATTCAGAAGTTATTTTGCGCGATTCAGAAGCTGTTTGTGCGATTCAGAAGCTACTTTGCGCGATTCAGAAGCTATTTTGCGCTATTCAGAAGCTATGTTTTTGTGCGAAGCTATTTTGCGCGATTCAGGAGCTATTTTGCGCGACTCAGAAGCTATTTGTGCGATTCAAAAGCTATTTTGCACGATTCAGAATCTATAATGCGCGATTCAGAAGTCAGAAGCTAGTTTGCGCGATTCGAGGCTATTTTGCTATTTTCTGCGGTTCAGAAGCTAATTTGAGCGATTCAGAACCTATTGTCAGGTGCAAAGTGATTCACAGGCTCAGTTTCAGCTTAGTAAGCACGCTTGTCATTTGGCAGGCGTGCGCGTGAGTGGTGAGCCAAGTGTGTGTGTGTGTGTGTGCTCTGGAGCGTGCTTAAAAATGTGCAGGCGTGCACGCAAAGCTTTTCGCTTGGCAGGCGTTGTGCGCAGTGCTGAGAGCGTGATGTCAATAAACCTCTCTAGTTGTCCCTAAGTTCAAGTCGAGCCAAAAGTCAAGTCTTTCCAAGGCCTGCTTTGAGCTGCGTTTTGCTTTTGCCTGGTTTTTATCAACCCCGTCCAAAGCCAAGCATGCGTGTGCTTATCATTTGGCAGGCTCTTGGGCGGCCGCACAGTAGTTTCTGAGTCGTGCAAGCTTCCTGAGTCGTGCCTGCTTCTTCCTGCGCCGTTACTGAATCCTGCAAAATCGCTTCTGAATCTGAATCATTCAAAATAGTTTGTGAATGGCACAAAATTAGCTTCTCAGTCAGAGTCATGTGAATAGTTTCTCTATCGTGCGAAATAGTTGCTGATTTACGCAAAATAAGAATACGAGTAGCGTGCCTGAGTCTCTCAAAAAGTTTCTGAATGGCGCAAGATGGCTTCTGAATTGGAAACCCACCTTGCCAATTGAGTTTTCGAATCTCGAATCCGACTGCCTAGTTTCCAAATCCGCCGTTCTAGTTTCCGAATGCACGTTGACTGTTTTGGGTCTTGAGAGTGCTCAGAAGGCAGATGCTTGTAGTAGTTCACGCTGAACGAGTGCAGGTCTTCGGTTCTACTCGCCGAATCCAGGCAAGAACTGCGTGTCGGTCTTGGACGAAGGTATCATTGAAGGGCGATTGTGTTCAATGTATTCCAACACTGAAGCGCGCTCCACCCAGAACAGCTTGTGACAATGCTGAATGTGTTTGACTGGAAAGTGGCGAACACCGCACTCAGCCCGCGCAGAAGTCAACAGCATCGGCGTCGAGAGAGATTACTCCGGCTCCTTTGCTGGACCCTTTCAGAGCCATTGGCATGCATCCCACTATTTCATAGATTGTGTTGCAGATTTTGCAGACGCTCGACTCGAGTTGGAAGAGTTGCAAGGTTGGAGGCGGCTGTAAGTTGACAGCTTGAGTGCGTGGGGACTCTGCAGCTGTCAAGCCTCGGATGGATTCTGAAAGCTTTCTTCAACTCAGACTACAACGGCTATTTGAGCATAATGTGTTGATAACGAGGGTAGTTTCAACATCTGCTGGTTTTCCATGACACACACACACACACCCTTTGGCATGGCCACATTCGCACAGCATTGTTGCAGTCATGGAGCCAGCGTTGCCACAATCTTGCACTGTGATAGCATAGTTTTGTGCCCCAATAGTTCCCCGTTGGTTACAAGCTGATGTACAAATTCTGTCGGATTTGGCGATGGCTTTCTTTGGTTTATTTCAAGCAGGCCTGAGATTTGCTTGATTTTCTCAAAGGGCTCATGTGGCGGAGGTTGTCTCAGAGCGCGAGTTCAGCAAGCCTGTTTGGCTCGGCCGGCAGAACTTAGCTCGAGCTTGGTGGTGAAAGAGACAATTTGTTTTCCACCCTCAAGCCGATTTGTGGAAGGAGTTCAGTCGAAGGCGGTAGCTTTCTGCTGCTAGATGGCGACCACTTTGGCAATGTCTCGCCAGGTTTGTCTCGTGGCAGCATGCTGGCCACATTAAGGCTCTGCTGGCACACATGCGTCAGACACTGAATGACTCGACAAGTAACGACATATTATTCTGGCGGGCACAACTAAGAGCTGCCGAGTTCTGACTTGTAGCGCAGGCATTGTGCCCTATCGCAGCAGAGCTTCAGAGAAGAGGCCGAGAGGCGCAACTTGGCATCAACACGCACGTACACACGAATGTATGTTTCGGGTTTAATGATTGTAGCACTTGTCTGCACGCAGCCGCGTCAGCAGTTGCGGCCAGACACGCAGTTCACGAGCGGGTTTGCTGGTTCCTGAATGTATGCGGTGGGTCCCACTTTGCGTTTGCCTTCCAACCCTTTGCGCGGATTGTGGTTGATTTCCAAAAACTGCGGAGTGCTTTGCCTTTGTGCGACCCCTGATCACACCAAACAATTGAGGACTTTTGCGATTTATGGGTCCCGCGACCCTGCGGGGATCGTGCCTCTCGAACCGCTCTCGCTGGGTCCCGCGCGAGTTTTGTTGAACTTTTCCTGCTTGCGAGCTGGTCCTTGGAATTGCGTGACCTCTCTTGTACTTGCGCGGCCGCGGGGTTGAATCCCCGCTGGGCGCGCGGGAACATCGCAACTGTTCGGCGCAAAACTAATAAACGAAGTGCATTCCTGCAGAAAATCGGAACTTGCGCAAAGAAGCTTGTGCGGAGCGCTCGCAGAGAGCGACGTGCAGACTTGCGAAGAGCAACTTGAGTAGTCACGCAAAGACCCTTGTGCAGAGGCACTTGCGCAGAGTAACTTGTGCAGAGCAACGTAAACTGAGCTACCGACGCGCAGGCAACTTGCTTAGAGCAGCTTGCGCAGAAAATATGGTGCAGATAATTTTTGCAGACATGCGCAGACACTTTTCCGCGCGGAGCAACTTGCGCAAGGCGCCCGCGCGGAGCACTTACAAAGAGCAGACTTACGCAGAGCGCAAGAGTGGCAGACAGTGCCGCAGCAACAACTCGCGCGAAGCACCTTGCGCAGAGCGCTCGAACAGAGCTACTTGAAGAGAGCTACCTGTGCAAAGAAGTCGCGCAGAGCACTGCGCAGAACAACTTGCGCATAGCAACGTGCGGGCAGCATCTTGCAGCGCGACACTGCGAGGTGTGCTCGCAAAGCTGCACTTGCAGAGAGGCGGCTGTTATCATCGTAGCGCTGGCAGGATCGGGATGGCGGCGACATGTTTTCGGGCCTTTTGACGCGCGGACTGGTTTTGTGACGCACCTCGCTGAAAAGGTGGATCTTTGCGGACGGGGTGAGGCCCAAGGGCCCACCTATGTTGGACAGAGCCCGACTTCACAGGCTTTGAGCTGCCATTTCTGCGCATGGCCTCAAGGTTTTCGCCGTAAGAAGTCATTGTGCCCCAGCAGTGAATACTGTAATCTTGTAGCTGGACCCCCGTTCAGCTGTCCCTGCAAATCAACGTCAACCTTGATTGCAGGCGCGATGTCAATGGCGAAATGCATGTGACAAGGTGTACCTGCAAGGGATGCGCTCCAATTTAGCAGCCTTGAAACTATATTTCAT